CTTTCCTCTTGTGTCTTCGTCTGTGGTTCCTTGACCCCCGTTTTTTTTCCTTGGCGTGGTGGGAGGGATAGCTACCGAACCCCAATACTCTCTCTCTCTCTCTCTGCGTCACGTTAGAAGGTTACAGTAGCGCTAAGGAGGGCGTGGAGACTTGTGGGACGACTAACGGGGAGAGAGGGAGGGAGGGTCGTAAATGCGTCGCGACACAACGCCGCCTCGTAGAAAGGCCACACTTGCAGATATTGTGGCGGGGAGACAGTGCCAAAATGTGTCGCGGTTACCAACCCGTGCTGGGAGGTCTCAACGCACGTCCTCGTCAACAACGAGTGCGACTGTGCCATCATTCTATATGAGTAGCGAGGACTCCGCCAAAAATGACGTGGTGGAAGAAGGCGCTCGTTGCGATGCCGCTTTGGAGGTTGCAAATTCAGGTCGGTCGAAGGCGGATAATGTACACAGAGGGCACCTACGATGTCTCTTCGCGAACGAAAATGGCGTCCGACGTGACAACGTTATACAACTTTTGAAAAAATTAGGCATACATTCCACACCGGATGATGCGGCACTGAAGCTGTTTTTTGAGGCGAATACGAATGCCGATTCTTCCATATTGCCTGACCAGTGGGTGGCTCTCGTGGAGCAATTACTGCATGCACAGAAGGATTCTGGCGACGGCGCGACACAGCTCACTGGATCTCTTTTGCCAAAGCCGAGCAGTGCTGCGCTGAGGGAGGAGAGGGTAGAGTGGGCCAGGGATACAGTTTCTGCACACGGGCACAGCGAGGCTCGAACGGAGCACAGGAGTGAAACCCAAGCCCGTGCTGAGCCCAATGATCAACCTTTGGATTCTTCCAAGCGGGGTTCAGCGGGAACATCCAACAAGAGGTGGGCTACCGGGAGTGAGGTAGGCGACGCCGCCCTCTTAAAGTTGTTTATTCACTGTGGTGCATTGAATCACAAAGGCAGAGGGCTTTCGTTATTTGTTGAAGACTTTAAACGCATGTGCGTTATCCGACAAAACGCATTGCCTCCAAAACGTCTCTTCTGTAATGCGACCTCGAAGATAGGCGACTGCGGCTCAAAAGATCTATGCTTCAGTAGTCCTGGCAGGGAGAATGTATTCATCACACTTCCGCAGTTTCTGGGGCTTTTACGAGATGAGCTTCGTGGCATTACGGGTGGATGTAGAGGACGTGGCAGAGCAGCGCGGACTACCCCTCCAACGGTAAGCATGGTTCTTGCCGCAGTGGCACCCATGCCACTGCAGCAGCTTTTTGGTAGCAAGGTGGTGGATTACCTTCGCCAACCCTCCACGGTTAACAAGGCATTAGCGGCATTAGAGGGCTCTATTGAGCCTCTTTCCAATTCTGATGGAAATGTTTCTCGCGAAGCCAAAGCACCCGGAGTCACTACTACTACATTCACGCGTAGAGCATCGATGAATGCGAGACACCCGCAGTTCGGTTCAGGACGCTTCTCTACAAGCACACTTACCTCTCGCAATAATAGTTGTGTTACTGCTGGGGGTGCTTCGGCTGGCAGTGAGGATCCAGATGATGGGGAGAAGCCCGCCTTGTTTCTCCACGCTGGTGCAGCGCGGGTGAGGCGTGGAAAGAGCGTGACTCCGCGTTACATGCAACAAAAGCCACTTGACGAAATCTCTGTCTCCGTGATCGCAAGATCCAAGGCTCGCAGGCTCATAGATGAGCTTAGAAAGAAGGCTATCCCCATCAATCGATACGAGTGTTTTGCACGTATTGGATGCGTTCAACAGGCCCTCTTTGAAGAGGCTGGTCTTGGGAGTGAGGACGAGGATGACGAAACTGAGAGTGTTAGTAGTGCCGCCTCCGGCGCGGGCGCCCATCGACGCCATCATGCCATTCTTTACAAGGCTAAGCCGCCAGACGTGGCGCAGCCATTGTTGCCGGGTATGTACAGGATGGGTGGGCCTGGCCAACCGAAGCCGCTGCAGGCAAGGCAGAAGACATTTGAGCGTCTCCACAGGCAGGGCCTTGGTCAGGTTTCTGGGTTTGTCAACTTCGCATGGCGGCGGTCTGCATCGGCTTCCGCTATGGGAGACGTGGGGAAGTGTAGCTTGAGTGAAAGAGGCGCACATGCGTCAGGTAGAACCACCCCAATTGACGTAGAACTCTCAACAGCGGTGGGGTCTCGTGATGATCGAGCGGCGCATCAGGCAGATACACTAAGCTCCTCTTATCAGACAGGCGTGCCTGGGCAAACGTCGCGGCGGGATTCACGAGCACACCCAATGCTGGCAGATTTCTTCGCAACACGTTTTCCTAGGTACGCGATTGGGCCCCAACGGCCGTCTCTTAGTTGCGGCACCGGGAACCGTAGGGGAGTGACGGAGTAGGGTGAAAGAGTTCGTTTTTTTGTTTGTTTGGTGGTGGTGGGGGGGGGGAGGGGGGATAAGGCGAAGGGAAAACATGAGGATACTTCCTATTAAACATGCCGCGTTGTGGCGTTTGTAAAAAATTGTATTTGGGAGCTTAAACCCCATCTCGAACGTCGGCACGCCGGAGATGCCCGCGCCAGGGCGTTGATTTATATGTATTCTTAATTGTTTGTGAGTGTTTTTTTTTCTTATTTCTTCTTTTTATTTCTTGGAGCAGGCGTTCCTGGTGGACGGAAGTGAAAACGGGAAAGGAAAAGTGAGTGGGTGGGTGAGCGAGTGAGTGTGTGTGTGTGTGTGCATGTGCATCCGTGGGGGGCCTCAGTTGAGGCAAACACGGGTTGGGTGCGTAATAAGCAAGTAAAGGAAGAAAAAAAACACACACACTCACCCGCACACACCGAGAGAGAGAGAGAGAGAGAGAGAGATGGCTAGAGAGAGAGAGAACGCGAGAGTGAGGCCGCTCCGCGCTCGTGTCTTACTCCCACATCTCATTGTGGGTGTCATCAGTTTTCCGCATGTGTGGAGTTGCAGGGCCTTGAGGTGCCGGCGGCGGGGAAACAACGTCGAGGACGATGACGGATAAAAACAAAAAAAAACAAAAAAAAGACGAGGGATGGAGGGAGGAGGGTGCCGGAAAGCGAATAGGGGGGGAAAAAAGAAGAAAAAAGACGATTTTATCTTTTTACCTTATCCACTCCTTACTTTTTTTTTCTTCTACCACTCTTTTGATTCAATTGTATATCAATATGGGTTTTCTAGACTCCTGGCGACGAGGACATGAACCGCCGTGAGCACCGAGCGTGTGGGGTGCTTTGTTTTTTTTCTTTTTCTTTTCTTCTTTTGTCACCCCCTCTTTGGTTCTGTCCCTGTTTTTGTTTTGTTTTCGTTTTTAATTTAAATACGTGCCTACCCCTTTTTGTTGTTGTTGTTGTTGTTTTTTTTTTCTTTTTTGTTCACTTTCGGCTTCTCCCATGTGCCTGCTGCTGCCGGCTCCGGCCCCGTCGCCTCGCGGCGGTGGCTGGCGGCGCAGCGGCGACCCAACATTCTCCACTCGCGCCCCGTCGCACGAGTACTCACCGCGGGGGCGGCCCCCCGGCTGCCTGCGTCGCCCCGGCCGCGGGGAAACCAGAGGGCGCGGCGGCGGGCCCCGGGCAGGGGCCGCGCGCGAGAAAAAAGAGTGGCGGTACGGGTGACTTGTGGGGGGAGCAGCAACAACAACAACAACGCCGACGAACAAACAGCAATAGAAATAATTAAATTGCGAGGTGCGAAGGGGAGGGGCTCAACATGTGACTCAACACACAACTTTCCCCTTTCTTCTGTTTGCGGTTTGCTTTCTTCCTCTTCCTTTCTTTGCGGCGCCCGCCCCCCGACTCGGCGAGCACACGAGACGGCGGCAGGGGGTGGCGGGCCGGGGCGACGACGACGAAGCGAGGAGAAAAGTAAAGGGGGGAAATTCATGCCGTCCCTGACGCGTGTGGCGCCGAGCAGGCTTGTCCCCGGCGCCAAGGGAGTCTTCATTACACGTGCGCTGAAAAAGTTCACGCCGGTGGAAGTCGCCCCACCGCCTGACGCCATTGCACCCCCGTATTTAGTGAATCTGCTTCGCACACCGCCGCACGCAATCTCGCTTCGACGCTTTTTGGCTTTGCGGCACCAGTTCAGCAGCGGCACGTACTTCAACGTGGCCACCCCGGGTGGGTGGTACTTGATCGTACCCGGCAACCACGCCCCACTTGCCGACCTCGCGGGTCTGCAGGCGTGGCGAGAGCGGCATCACCATCGCTACGAGCAGAAAGCCACAGGACGAAGCAGGAAGAAATGCGAGGCAGTGAAGTTGGGACAAGGTGCAAAGGCACACAAAGGAACACCACCACCACTTGGGACGCACAATGATGGCGGTGAGGGGGTTTCTCCTGCCGCAGCACAGGAGGAGTTCCACCAGGGCGACGATGTTGGTAACGACATGGAGGAAGAAGAGGAGAGTGCGGCGGAGGCGGAGGGTGTTGGCGCCCATGCAGCGGCAGCGTCTCCCTCCGGCGCCGGAAGTACGCTGTCTCGAGCGTCACGGCTTGGGGCGCCGCCGGTTGTCATTCCCGAGGGGCATCTGTTTGAGATCAATGACGGGGTTCTGTGGGAAACGCCTCCGCAGGACGACCTTGGCAGCCCCGCCTACTGGAGGCAGCACAGGCTGCGTATGCAATTGTACGACGACACCAGCGTCAGCGCGGAGCAGGGAGAGTTGCTGGGGCCCACACCGGGCGAAGCGGGGCATAAAGAGGCGCCTGGCTACGTGGAGCGGGAACGCTACGCCCAGGCGCAAAGACTCTTACAGACCTTAACGCGTAAGGCCAATGTGAAGCTGATTGTCGACGACGATCGCCGTCTCTTGACGCTCGTTCCTATCATTGACCTGAAGGAGGGCGATGAGCTACTGCTTCATTACGGCCGTGAGTGGTGGTCGCAGCGGCTACTTTCCACTCTTTTCATGTCTGTGGCCGACAGTGAGATGCGTGATGTCCGCTGGATTGAGGCACTTTTCACGAAGCCCACTGACGTGAGCCGACCGTTTCCCCTGCTCTGCTCTGCCGTGGCGCGAAGGAGGCTGCCGAAGCGGATGCAAACGGGTCAAACTGTGCAAGCTGCAGGGGTGACGAATGCTGAGACTGCCGTGGCTGCCACAGCAACGCGGCAGGATGCGTTGGTGCTGTACAACGTGGTGACGCGTCGAAAGGCTACAGATGCGGAGGCGCTTTTCTTCGCCGTGCGACGGAGCTGCGTGGATCGGAGTTTTTTTTCCTCCCTTCTTGGGCCGGCTGGCGCCGGCGTGTTTGACGTCGCACGCTGCGACGACGAGGTGCCACTTCGCCAGCTGCGCCGTGCGTTGCTGCAGTCGCTGCGTCAAGAAGGCGTTTCGGCCGGCACTCCGGCGGCCCCCGGCTGCGATGCTCAGGAGGAGGAGGAGGAGGGGGACGACGGCGCCCTCAGCTTCTGAGGGCGTACTCTGTTTTTGGCCGCCGTGCTGACTCGGGGCGAGAGCCACGCGTGTGTGTGTGTGCGCGCGCGCCGCTCTCCCGCGTTGAACCCCCCCCCCCCGCCCTTGTTTTTTTTTTGTTTTGTTTTGCCGCTGATTTACTTACCCGCTGCTTTCTCCCTCTTGCCTTTGGCCAAGCTTTGCCCGCGACAGTGCCGTTTCCTTCGCACACGAGGAGGAGGCCATAGGCGCGCGTGAGAGGGTGCGATAGAGAGAGCCGTCGTCCTGGTGCGTCGGGGGACGCGTGAGCGGAGGAAAAGAAAAATAGAAGAGGAGGAGCCGACGTTAACGGCGCGCTCCCCGGGACGATAGTTGCCAGCTGATATGCAAGTGAAACACTACAAGACGTTGCTGGCCTCACAGCCGGCGTTTGCGCGGGTGCAGGCCATCTGCTGGTCGCCAAACAGCAAACGGTTGGCGGTTGCCGACAACCATCGTTCTGTCAACCTCTACGACGAGTTCGGCGAGCGTCGCGACAAGTTTCCCACGAAGGCGGCGGACAACTCGAACGGAAAGTTGTTTGTGATACGCGGCATGGTGTTTTCCCCGGACAGCAGCAGGATTGCGGTGGCGCAGTCCGACGGCATGGTGGCCATCTACCGCATTGGGCACGAGTGGGGAGATAAGAAGGCCATCTGCAGCAAATTTCCGCAGAGCAGTGCGGTCACTTGTGTGTGTTGGCCGAAGACCACGCAGGGGGTGGACCTCGTCGTCTTTGGGACGCTGGACGGGAAGGTGAAGGTTGGTATTCTGAAGTCCAATAAGGCTCAGTCCCTCTACTCCCACGAACACGCCGTGGTGTCCGTGGCGAGCCACTCCGACGGGAACAAAGTCGTCTGTGGGCACTTGGACGGCTCTGTGTATCAGTACACTTTTGACTCGGAGGAGACGAACGAGGCGGCGGGCTCGAAGAAGATTTTCCACCACTCCTGCGCCCCGTATGTCCTGCTCTGGGGGGAACACATTTGCGCGGCGGGGCAAAATGGACGGGTCACCTTCTACGACCGCAACGGCCAGAAGGCGCAGAACATCGACTACAAGGTGGAGGTGGAGGGGGAGTTCACCGTGGGATGCTTTAACCCCAGTGGGCAGACGATTGCGCTGGCGTGCCGCGAGAAGTTCCGCCTTTTCGACTACAATCTGCGCTCGCGTAAATGGGAGGAGGGGACGGTTATAACGCTTCCCAATTCTTGCTCCTTTTCCGCCATGGCGTGGAAGCAGGACGGGAGTCGCATTGTGACGGGGACTTTGACAGGCGCGGTAGACATGTTTGACGCCTGCTTGAAACGATACCGCCTTCGTGGTGCGTTTGAGTTTACATACGTCAGTCCAAATCAAGTCATTGTGAAACGACTGGCGACGGGAACCCGCATTGTGCTTCGCTCGAACATGGGCTACGAGGTGCAGCGGGTCAACGTTTACCACGACCGCTACTTGGTGGCCTACACCTCCACGACGCTGCTTGTCGGTGACCTCATCTCCTGCAAGCTGTCGGAGGTGGAGTGGCACCTGTCGGGGCGCGAAAAGTTCGTGTTCGACAATCCACAGGTTTGCATGGTGTTTTCGGCTGGGGAGCTTTGCCTGATTGAGTACGGCAAGCACGAGCTTCTCGGCACCTGTCGCACGGAGGAGCGCAACGCCCACCGCATCTCCGTCCGCGTGTATGAGCCCGGCGAGAATAGCGGGGGAGACGAGCAGCAGACACGCAAGTTCATTGCCTACCTAATTGATCGCCAAACCATTCAAATTGACGACCTCGGCAGCGGCATCAGCGTCGCCCGTGTCGCCCACCAAAGCCGGATTGACTGGCTTGAGCTCAATTACCGCGCCAATAAGCTGCTCTTTCGTGACAAGCAGCACCAGCTGTTTCTCTACGATGTGGAGGAGCAAACCCGCACCACGTTGCTGAACTACTGCACCTACGTTCAATGGGTTCCCGGCAGCGACGTTGTTCTGGCCCAGAACCGTGTCGAGCTGTGTGTGTGGTACAGCATTGACGCCCCGGATCGCGTCGCGGTTGTCCCCATCAAGGGCGAGGTGGAGGGCATTGAGCGCGGCAACGGCAAGACGGAGGTGATTGTCGACGAGGGCATCAACACCGTCGCCTACGGCCTCGACGAGGCGCTTATTGAGTTCGGCACCACCATGAAGGATCACGACTACAGCCGGGCATGCGACCTGCTAGACCAGATTGCACTGACGCCCGAGACGGAGGCAATGTGGGCCAATTTGGCAACGGTGTCACTGCAGGAGATGAAGCTGCACATCGCCCAACGCTGCTACGCGGCCCTGGGCGACGTCGCGAAGGTAAACGCGCTGAACCACATCAATGAACTTGCGGAGGCGGCGGCAAAGGCCAGTGAGGGTCTCACAGATGGTTATGAACACTACACAGTGCGGGCCGAACTTTTTATGCTGAACAAGGACTACAGGCGGGCCGAGCAGGTTTTCCTTGAAAACGGTAAAACAGAGGAGGTGATGGCCATGTGGGAGGAGATGAATCGCTTTGACGAGAGCATCAACATCGCCGAGGCACGTGGCTGGCCCGAGCTGGCGAGCAAGCGGGCGCAGTACTACAACTGGTTGATGGAGACTGGCCAGTTTGGGAAGGCCGGGGAGCAAAAGGAGCGGGAGGGCAAATTCATTGAAGCCATCAACTTGTACTTGCGAGGTGGCACACCCTCACGGGCGGCAAACGTCGTCTCGGCCAACGAGTTGAGACCCGAGCCACAACTGCTGGAGGCCATCGCGGCGGCACTCTTCAAGGCGCAGGTGTTTGAGAAGGCTGGCGACTTCTTCGATAAACTCAAGATGGGGGATCGCGCCATTGAGGCGTACAAAAAGGGCCACGTCTACAGCCGTGCCGTGGAGTTTGCCAAGCGAACCCACCCGGATCAGGTTGCGGCGCTGGAAGAGGCATGGGGCGACTACCTTGTTGGCCAGAAACACGTGGATCAGGCGATTAATCACTACATTGAGGCAAACAAGTACAGCAAGGCTGTGAAGGCGGCGATTGACTCGCGGCAGTGGAGCAAGGCAACACACATTCTCGAAAGCCAGGCCGTGGGCGCCGACAACGACAAGAATGTGAGGGGCTTTTACAAAAACATTGCCCACCACTACGAGGAGCTGCACCAGTACGGGGACGCGGAGAAGTTCTACATTAAGGCGGGTTCCGTCAATGAAGCGGTGGAGATGTACAGTCGTGCGGGCATGTCAGATCACATGTATCGCGTGGCCCAGCGCCACCTCTCGCAGCAGCAGCTTGTGGCTCTTTTTGTGGATCAGGCGAAGCAGCTTGAGACGAAGGGCGACTACGCCGGGGCAGAGCGCATCTACCTAAAGGTGAATGAACCAGACCAGGCAATTGTCATGTACAAAAAGACGCGTGACTACACAAATATGATTCGCCTTGTTCAGGCGTATCGCCCGGACTACTTACTCAAAACGCACCTTTCCCTGGCGGCCCAGTTTGAGAAGGAGAACAATTTCAAAATGGCAGAGACGCACTACGTGGCTGGAAAAGACTGGGGACGGGCGGTTAATATGTACCGTGACCGTGAGTTATGGGAGGATGCCGTGCGGGTTGCCAAGGTGCACGGTGGGGCGAATGCGGCAAAGCAGGTGGTGCTCTCACGCGCCATGGTGGTGGAGGCTGAGGACGGCGTGCGGCTACTCATGAAGTTTTCCCTCGTGGACGCCGGCATTGATGCCGCGTTAGAGGCGCAAAAGTTTGAATTGGCACTGCAGTGGGCCCAGCTTGCCCAACCCGCCAAACTCCCCTACGTTTACCTAAAGTACGCCATGCACTACGAGGATCAAGGCGACTTCCGCATGGCGGAGGATGCCTTTTTAAAGTCCGGTAAACCACGCGAGGCGATCGATATGTATTTGCACCAACACGAGTTTGAAAACGCCATGCGTGTTGCAGAAGGGTACGATCAGACAGCTATTTCTTCTATTCTTCAGGCAAACGGGCGAGACCTATTCCAAAAGGGCAACTATCGTGAGGCGGAGTCCTTATTTATCCGTGCCGGCGCCCCAGAGCCGCTGTTGAAAATGTACATGGATAGCCGTCTCTACACAGAGGCCCAACGGGTGGCAAAGGAGCATTATCCGGAGATGCTTGGCGAGATTGCCAAGCGTATTGCACTCCAGTCAAATGACCCTAAGAAGGCAGGTGCGGTGCTGGAGGAGCACGGTGAGTATCAGCTGGCTATTGAGAATTACCTTGGCGCCACACCGGAGCAAGTATCGGACTCTAACGTCTTGGCAAATCTCTGGGTGCGGGCGGTGAAGGTGGCTCAGAGGCACGACCGCAATATGTTGAAAGGCGTCCTGCGCGTCGCCACGGAAAAGCTAAAGGAGGCCCAACGGTACGTTGAGGCGGGTAAATGCCTAGAGGATTGCGAGGACTACAAGGGCGCCATCAACATGTATGTACAGGGGAAGAAGTTTGACCTTGCGGAATACCTGGCCAAGCGCATTAGCCCCGAGCTGGAGGACTACGTGAAGCGGGCTATTGTGCAGGACAGCATTGAAAACGGTGGAATCAAGGACGCCAAGGTGGTGGAGGAGATTGACCCCGAGTTTGCGCTTAAGACGTACATTTCTAACAACGACTGGGAGAATGCCATTCGTATAGCAAAGCAGATGACCTCGGAGAAGCTGAAGTACGTAGCAGGGCTACAGATGAAGTACCACCTTGGCAAGGGCGAGTTGCCACAGGCGCTAGAAGTGGTGGAGGAGTTGCCCCTTGACACAGGCGACTTTCGCTTCTATGACACCTGGTTGGACATGGCCGAGCGACTTGTTCCCATGATGCCGGTGACGGCCGAAAGCAACTTGAAGTTAGATCGCTTTCACACGAGTCTCATCAATGTCTCCGAGAGCATGGCCACATCTGGGCAAAAGCCAGAGGATATCGAAAGAGCCAACGCACTTGCGCATATCATTCACATTTATTACACGGCCCCGCGCATGATGGAGCTCTCCTTGGGCGAATACGCGCTGAAGCTGCTGCTCGGCCTCCCACGATGGATTCCGTACATTGCACCGGAGAAGGCCTTCTTCGACGCCGGCATAGCCGCAAAGGTTGCTGGCTCAGAGGCCATTGCGTTCCTTTACCTAAACCACTTTCTCGACATCACGGAAAAGATCGGGGAAGGTGTCACCGACAGCTCGGTCCTGGATAGCAGCAGCTTTGACTGCACGGACTTTCCCAAAAAATACGCCCTACCAAAGTCGTCGAGCGTGGATACGGCCGCGGAGGAGGAAGTCAACAAGTGGGTGTTGACCATTTCCATTGAAAGCAGCTTTGACCCGCACCTGCCCACGACGATGGACCCGCAAAATCATGTGGAGATGTTTGAGGGGGCACTGCGGTCGCCGGCCGGAGAGGTCTTTCCCGAGTGCGCCGTCACCGGCTACCCGGTTATTTCTGGGGGTCTCACACGCTGCCGCCACTGCCAACGCCCGGCAAACCCGGAGGACTGGAATCGGTACATTGTTCTCGGCAAGCGCTGCCCATGGTGCGGCGTGGAGGAGGCGCCGAGCTTTCCAATGTAGAGACGTGCTCAGTGCGGCCCGACGCAACAAACCCCCTCGCCCATTCCTCGCGGCGCCGCCCCTCATTACGCGTTGCTGGTCGCCGTCGCCGCTGCTGCGGTCCCAGCGAAAGCAGAATGGAAAAAAAAAGGGTGGAGAGAAGAGGGATGGAGGAAGTGGCAGGAGGAGAAGAGTGAGAGCGGGGAGGCATGAAGAAGAAAAAAGAAAAGAGAAAAATGAAAAACGCAAAAAAAAAACAAGGTGAGGCGCGTGGATGAAAGGAGGTACCAACCAAAACAAAGACCTACGCAAAAATAGAAGACAAAAAAAAGAGAACAACGAAACACAGGCAGCAATAAAAATGAGATGCTTCAACTCGGGCCAGGAGCGGAGGTGAGGAGCAACCGCGTGGGCGGCGACGGAGAGGTGGTGGGGAAATGAACAAGAACGCGGCGGACACGGTGGCAGAGGTAGAGGATCTGGACCATTACTCCCACGTGCTAGACATTTTTACCCCTTTATCTTTCTCCAACGCACAAGGGGCGAAACAATGCGCTCGACTTGGGCTTTCCACCCTTTCCCCTTCTCT